ACTGTGGCAACGGCGCCTGGGCCCGCCCGCTGCCCCGCCGGCCCACCCGGCGTGGCGCACATTGTATAAGCCGCTGACCGCCAAGAAGACTGGTGACCTGCACGGCATCCTAGCCACTGGCACGTTTGCGTCCCACTTTGACCCAGCCGCTTCGACGGATTGCCCCTTCTGCCCTGGGGGCGTGGAGGAGGATCTCTTCCACGCTTGGTGTGGTTTGATGGTTTTTTGCTTTCTGTACCTGATCTTTGTGAAATAAAGTTGTTAAAAGTCAAAGTCCTTCCTTCCCTTAGCTTCTTGAATGCTGTCATTTTGTGGTCGCTGTCACATAAGTTACTTTTCACCTTCACATTCTCAACAAATTCCTCCATGTTAGTGAGCAGCAAGTTGAGAAGAGCTTTTTCTTAGTGGGTCTCTTTACCATCTGTATCAAAAAGTTATACTTGACACAGTCTATGAATTTGCTGGACTGCTTGTGCACTGTTGTGTTTCCCTTCCAGCAGATGGTCCTGATAATTAAGATCCCCTACGAGAACCAAATCCTGCAATTTGGAAGCTTCCATCTGTCATTTAAAGAAAGCCTCGTCCACCTCTTCCTACTGGTTTGGAGGCATGTAGCAGGCACCCACCCTGATGCATCCGTCCTCTGTTCCTCTGACCTTTACCCCAGGGGGTTTTCAACAGGCCTACTTTCCACTTCACAGTGCACCTCAGAACACATGTACATCACCTTTAGATATAAAGAAAACACCTTATTTTCTATTTCCCTACCTGTCCTTCCTGAACAAGCTGTACCCATCCATGACTGTACTCTAGTCATGCGAACTACCTTACCACATCTTTGTAATCCCAATTACATCATAATTCTGTTCCTGTACTGGGACCTCCAATTTTTTCTGTTTGTTCCCCATGCTTCTTGCATTGGTTCATATACATTTCAGGTATCTAATTGACTGTCTCATCCTCCCCCTGACAACATTACTTAGTCTTCCATTATTGCTTTCCCTTACTAAGTTTTTATCCAGGTCCCTAGACTCTTTACTTACTTCTGCACTTCTGTGTCCATTCCCCAGTGAACCTAATTTAATCATCTCTTTTGTTCTTGAATAGATAAAAAGTGCCCATCCATAAGCTCCAATGCTCCCATCATGAAGGATACAGATAAGGGATGGGAGGGAATTTCACAACCATCGGAGACTTGCAGAAAATATTTGTCAACCACCTTTTCATTGCTGAGGCAGATCATTGCCACCAATGAGCACAGCTGTGGCAGTATATCACAAGGAAAGATTTATAAAACCACAAGGAGCCATTTTAGGCGTTACTACAGGCATGTTAGTCAATCACTTGAAAAAAAAATAATTCTATCAAAACAGCACTAGAAAATCGAGCACTAGCAGACCACTGTCCAGAGAGAAAGGGTGGTAGGAGGGAATCATCTGCATGTTGACATCCTCCCTAAAAATATTTCACTAGAATTTTCTTCCTCTGCCACCTTCATATTCATTGCTCATTTTGAGCAGGAAAAGCTCCTTTTATGTTTCCACCTTCACAGGAACATAAAACACTAAGGGAATGTCTGCACTGTCAAAAGACGGTGTGAGAGAGTACCGCAGGGAAGCATGGCATGCCTTGGAAGTGCTGTGAAGTGGCTGTAATACAATCACCTTCGAGTGTCATAGGGCATGCCCAGATAAGCATGCCTAGCACAACGAGCTTGGTGGTATATGTCCAGTATTACACTAAAGAAGCTGCATTACCACATTTTCTAATATATAGCACACTCCCAAACCAGACATGTACCTTGTTTTGGAAAAAAAGAATGAAGAATAAAATATTTTTTCAGGGTTATGGCTCATTCCTCACCATCGCTGCTGAGGTAAAAACCACAGTTTTAACTCTCTTGTAGCTGTGACTGAATTGGCAGTGGCTGTGAAAGGGTTAAAACTAATTCTGAGTTTGACAATTGCACTCTGGAAGGAGTTTCCCAGTTTTGAAGGGCTGACTTTTTCATAGTTTTATAATTTCATAGTTGTTAGGGACTGGAAGGGACCTTACAGATCATTGGGTCAAGCCCCCCTGCACTTGGTCAGGAAGGACTGCTGTGCGGTAAGGAGTGTGTTATATGAGTAAATATAGTGTATCAGTCTGGGGTGTAGTATGCATAGAGTGGTTGTGCTGTGCTTCACTGCAGCATTCCCTAACGTTGTCCTTTGACAGTTTGTACATACCTTGCGCCCGTCTGGTTTCAAATGCTTGCTCATGGGCCATCTTGGCCCGGACAGCAGAGGGTGTACTCTCTCTAGCTTTGTGAGTTCCCCGAGGTGGGCTTCAGTTGTCCCACTGGCCTTCCCTGAACTCTGCTGCCCCGTCTTTGAACGTTACTTCAGTGTGGGGTTCAGCCTCGAAACTGACCACTCCGTTTGCCGGATGTCTGTGGGGCTCCACCTCCCCTACACCCCAGCCTTACACCAACCTCTGGCAGGGCACCAGATTTTGACATGGCTGCCGCTCCAGTGTGGCTGTTCCTTATGCCCTGTGGTCTCCCCTTTTCTCCTTGGGGAAGGATACTTAGCTGGCCCAAACTCTGGGCCTGAGATCCCCTTTGAGCAGGTTGGCTCTCTTCTTGGGGCTTAAGGGTGCCCCTGTCGAGCAGGGGTAAAGAAATAAAACCAAGAAAAGGAAATAAAGAAAAAGACCCGAAAGGGGTCTTCCTGTCTGGTATCTTACCGGTCGGCTTTCCCAGCCATCCTGCCCAAACTTGGCAGTTCTCCCCTAATGCTGGTCCTGCGGGGTCCCTCTCTTCCCTCCACCCCTAGCCTGGCTCTCAGACCTGGTACCTGGGATGTTCAAGTGGGAAGACCTCCACTTACCCGAGCTTGGTTTTCACCTCTTCTTTGGGTTCACCGAATTGGCCGTGCCTCCACTTGGCGTCTTCCCTGACGAGCTTCGTTAATGACACAAGGGGGAAGTCATCCCCAGTGTTCCATCCTTCCCGGGGCTTGATCTCACTGCCCACGGTGTGGGGAGCTCTCGCTGCTTCCCCAGCCGTCCAACGTCCAGGCACTCCCTGTGCGTGGCGGTTCTGCCCGTTGCCGGCACGGAGAGCCTCCGCCTCATCACTGGCTCTCCCCTCCCTACTGCCGGCAGCTACTTTTATCCCTGCCGGCTGGTGCGTCCTTATGACGTCACCCGCTGGCCTTAATTGCATAAAGGCGCGGCTTGTAAACCACGCGGGCTTTTCTCTTCTGTCTTCTGGCGTTGCTCCTCCTGCAGGTAAGTGGTTATTTTGCATTTCTTTCTTTATTTTAGTGTTTCTTCCCGCGCCGAACTCTGCGGGCAGGGCTTCCTGGTCCCGCTTCTCACTATCCTCAGGACATACCTAAACTCCTGGTGGTGGATTTTTGTGAAAGAAGAGCATTTAAAAACGTGTATGCCACCTCCATGAGGAATTTGAGAACAATTTCATTAAAACAATATTACTACTTAAATTTGTGACAAAGCTTTGGAAGGTGATATATATAGATATATATGATTATTTATGATTAATATGATATATGAATTATTTATTGCCACACAGTTTGTGTGCTATTTTAGAGCTTATATTAAGTGACTTAATTAGATATATTAGATATAGATAGATATAGGTGACTTAAGTTGTCACTTAATACAAGCTCTAAAATAGCACACAAACTGCAGCAATAAATAAGGACAAGGGTGATTCAGTTATGCAAACTGACTTGGTTGTTTGGTCAAGTTGAGTTTATTTGAACAATGTGTACTTTAGTACTGCCTAAATTGCACAGTTTAGGGATGAAAACATGCAGGTTATACTTATGACAGGGAGATGTATTAAAAAAACCAATGATTTCCCAAAAGACCTAGGGTCACTCTTTATAGCCAGTTAAATATGAGTCCCTAGTCTGCTGCTATAGCTAAGAGGGGGTTTTGGACATACAAGCATGGAAATATCAAATAGGAGAAGATAGCATTGCCTCTGTATGTACATTAGTAAGACTGTTACCAGAACACTATTCAGGACTGGTAGCCACTCTTCAGAGGTGGCATTGCAAATTAGAAAATATATACAGAATGTTGAGAACCTAAAAGCTCAGTCTGTGTAGCTATCCAAGATTAAGAGGGAATTTTTTCACAGTTTACAAAGTCCCACGTAAGGAGAGATGTAGGAAATAACACTTTAATTTACTATAAAAAAATCATCAGCAGATTAATTCAGACTAGAAATAAGGTAGTAGGCTATTTAACAGTGAGTGTAATTAATCAAGACTGAAAAAACATGCTCTGGTAAATGGTGGATTCTACATCATTATTTTAAGGTCTTTAACAACAAAACTGGATGTTTTCTGAAAGGGTTGTTGCAACTGAATCAGAAGTTCTGGGCTTGATGCAGAAATTACTTGATGAAATTATTTGGGTTCTGCTTTGCAGAAGGTCAAAGATAATCAAAACAGTCCATCCTGGCCTCCAGGTCTATGAAATCTTGAGAAATAGTTGAACTATTTTTCAGTAGAACTGTGCTTTAGTCTTAAGTTTAGCTTTGCTGCTTATCACTTGTTGGTAACAGAATGACATACAAGGCGAAATGTCTTGCCAAGGATTTCATTTTCCATAATCTCATTTTCTTCCCTATTTTTCTCTCTCTCCTTTTTTTTTTTTTTTTTTAGTCTGTTCTTGTTTAGAGGCGTGGCATGTTTTTGAAAAGTCAGTATGCTATAATCTCTTTGGCTATAATTATTACTTTAAAAAAACAGGTTCAGATTTTGTGGATGACTGTCAGGTTTTTTATCTTTGATTTCTGTGCTTTTCTGAAATTTAATTTGAAAGTCAGAAAAGATCACTGACTTGAATGCACTCTTGTACTACTATATACTGTTAAAAAACTCAATCAGCTAGTTATGACTTCAGATTTGTTTCATTTTACCTGCAGCTGCATACCCTTGTCCATAATCTACTGCAGTGTATTTTTTATTAAGGTACTTTCAAGTGACTAAAAAGAACAGAAACAAGGCATGGCAGGATAATTGCGTCTCATTAATTGCATATCTCAGGTGTGTTACAGGGAATGATGCCAAAGTTAGATTGTCTTCTACCTCCTGAGAAGTGCAGTAATAGTACAGAAATGCTTCCCTCTCATGGCCTTGTTGTGTTTATAAAGTGGCACTGTAATGGCAAAGGAAGGAAAAATAAAATGATTAAAATGACTGCATAGCCTGTATTTTGACAGGCTTATATCACGTACCCATGCCATTGCTCTTCTGAAATTTCCCTGCTACCAGCTTCCCACTCATTTCTCAAAATTCTTGTGCTTTTAATAATAATTCAAGCAAAGTACTATAAGTTTCATTTTCCAAATTTATCTCAGTGTTTCCTTGGCAGGTACGTAACAATTTCCATTCCACTTCTAAACGCTAATGCAACCAACTTCTAGTCATGCTGGGTAAAGGCATTCTTGTTTGATCTAGACGGAGGATTTCTTTTGTGTCAGTACATCCAAGAAAACATCAAAAAACTGTACCATTATATACATTTTATAAATGAGATGTGTATGCTGTGCATGTAATGACATAATATATACAATAAAATCCCTTTTAAAAGAAACATAGAATCTTCCAGTTTGGGGGGAAATTTTGAAAAAGGTAGCTTGGACAGCCTTAAGTGGGTTTCAGTGTCCTATGTCACTATGCCATAGCAGCTTAGGTGAGAGTGGGCTGTTTCCTATTTATCTTGTTAAGTAGTTGTTTGGTTTGAAGGGTGAGGTGGAAGCTGACTCTACTGATGTTTCACAGATCAAACAGGACTTCTTTGGACTGGGTACTTATTTGGTGCCCAGAAGATCCATGCTTCCCTCTGTCTAGTTTCTCTAATGTATCCTATCACTAAATCTCCAGTTATGCTCTGAGCAGAGACAATAGTGTTTTGGGGCACAGAAAGAATTTCTAAAACTGGCCATGTTTGGCATAGATTTTGTTAATACTAGTATGATCCCATTGTAAACTACTAATTTATAATGTGCTTTATTTGTGGCGTTATTTCTCACCAGTTTTTCTAAACCACGGTATGCATTTTGAGGAAGGTAGAATTGGTGAATGCAAGGGTAACATTGAATTCTAAAATGACTTGCAGATTTCATAGATTTCATAGACATCAGGGCTGGAAGGGACCTCGGAAGATCATCGAGTCCAGCCCCCCACCCAAAGGGCAGGAAGTCAGCTGGGGTCATAGGATCCCAGCAAGATAAGCATCCAGTTTCATCTTGAAGGTGTTCAATGAAGTCAGTGGAAGAATGCAGCAGTTGAAAGCTTCACCAAAGCTGAAGCTCCCTGGGAATGCAGAAGATGACGGAAGTTGTCAGAGGCCTATAATGTGTCAGGGATGTACTTGGTAGCTGTGTCGGTCTGAAACAAAAAGGAATACAAAAATCTAGAACTCTTGGTTCCAAAATAATACCTTTTATTAGACCAACTGAGAAATCACAAAAAAATAATCTTTTTCTGCAAGCTTTCGGGCTCAAAGGTCCTTTATCAGGCTCTGGGAAAAGTATAGATGGTAACCACTAATGTTGTATTTCAGAGGCCTATAAAGCATTATTGAGTCTGGGGAGACTGGGGAGGAATTTGATAATAGTCTTCAAATACCTGCAGGGCATTTTATAGAGAGGATGAAGATGGGCTTTTCTCTGGCCATAAGGGAGAGGACTATGAACAACAGATTCAAGCTACAGCAGAGGAAATTTACATTGGAGATTAGGAGAAACTTTCTGACTATGAGGGTGGTGAAGCATTGGAACAGGCTATCTTGAGTAGTTGTAGAATCTCCAAGCTGGGAAATTTTCAAAAGCAGTTTGGGCAGACACTTGGCTGGTATGGTTTAGTGAGAGAGAATTCTGCCTTGGGCAGGGAGCTGGACTAGATGACCTCATGAGGTCCCTTCCAGCCCTACTTTCCTTTGATCCTAGAAAAAATGAAATAGATTTCAGCTGCTTTCACTTTGTACCTGGGACAAAGAGTAGTAGTGAAAAAGAAAACTAGTAGGTAATCTTATCCTTCCAATAGCAAATGTTTTTAATTGTTTTCAGTTAACTCAGGCAACGAAGGCTAACTATGAAACTTTCTGAGTGTCACACTCCATATAAAAATTAAACATGAAATATACATTGTTAACCTGGAGCAGATTCTGTTCCAAGATAAGATCCACAAGATGTGGTTGTATTTTCCACAGTGACCCAGAAAGCAGGTAGAGGGAAGGACAGCATGGGAAGAATGTGCTAATGCACACAGAAGTAATAGGTAGGCTAGTTATAGCTGCAGGTATACTTTGATTGCAATTCAGATAATTATTAACATTAGATTAAGTAAAAAATATCTGATTTTAGGTATGGGCAGTAGTGCAGCTACAGACAGACTGTTAAGGTCAGCATTAAGGTATTCAGAAGTGTAAGTTTGTAACGTGTGTGGATCTCTGCCAAGTCTCTCACACCTGCAAACATAAATATAACCTTTTCTTACCTCTCCCCAGTGTTTTCGCTCATTCTTTCTTCCCCCCAGTCAGTTTCCTCACCACCTGTGCCATCACCTTCTAGCCTAGTAACTCCCATCTGGTCATCCTGTATATTCTTAAACATGAACAATTATATCAAGATGTCAGTTTTCATGTGCACATATCTCATTTGTGTAGGCAGCTGCAGCACAAGTACACAAGTTAGGTAGGCCTTGAGAAAAAGTATGTGCATACTGTTTCAAGGTTCAACAGCTTAGTTACACTCTGCCAGTGATTCTCAACTCTTTAGATTCAAGGCAGCCCTCCATAATTTTTCTGGATGTAGTGGCACACCAGTTAAGAACCACTGTTTCAGTGGTATAGCTTATTGGTTCTGTGCCCTGGGCATAGAGGGGTTGAGGAGGGGGGTTGTATCGAGAGTAGAAGGTGGCAGGTGCAGGTGGGGCAGGCAGTCTTATTTGCTACTGCATGGGTTCACCCAGAGGCTCCAGGCACACAGAGGGGAGAGACCTGGGGCAGAGTCCCCTCATGAGCCTCATTCACCCTCTCATAGTTGCCAGTAATCTGCATTGAGGAGCAACCACTCCTCTTGCACTCCCCTCTCCCTGTGGTCACGGCCCCTTAGGGCCTCACTGACAAGCCTCCTGAGCTTGTCAAAGTTGGCTTTCCTGAAGTCAAGGACTTGCGTGTTGCTGACCGACTTGCCAGCTTTTCGGCGGATGGTGAAGGTGATCAGCTCGTGGTCGCTGTCAC